CGATTTTTACAATGTTACAAAATGCATATTTAGAATATGAAGGCATTTGAAGAGCCATGCTTTTCAGGGAACATGTCTTAACTGATGTTCTTCCACACTTGCATAATAAGAATGAGTAATGCTCACAAATTATTTTTCACCTCTCCCCAGAACTCAACCTTCTCTTTAATACATACATACATACATGTAGTTGCCTTTCTGGCTCAAAATAATTTGTTCTCTTGGTCGAGATTGTATGATACAATTATCGTATAAATAATTCCTTGTAACTGAATTATACAACATATTTTGTTAAGCACAAAATAATCACTTTTGTATACTTTGCAAAATGTTGTTTGTAATTTACCGGTATGTAATTTATTTATTGTACATACATGTATGTAAATTGTGTTTTCTCGTTGAAAATGAAAATAAAACTTGAACTTGAAATAGATGATTACACTGTACGTACAGTATGCTGTGTTACAAATGACATGCGCTGTATGATGGAATGAAATATTTCAAATTAGACAAATACAGAGCATAATCTGTACACTTACATGTAATTGGGGATTTAGGATTGATGAATGATCTGTTGAATTTAGAATAGTTTGACAGGTGATTTGGTGACATGTACAGTACATGCATCTGTAAAATTTAAACATTAGCAGTGTCCTCATATTCAAATTATGCAAGGAAACCTGTTTACTTGCTAGACTTCACTGTCAGACACTATTGAGTGACTGACTGGCTTTTCTTCTTCTTTGGTAATAACATACATGAAAAGAGTTGTACATGTAAAGGGTACATGAGCATTTGTCTACATCAATAACCCACTTCTTGTGATGGCCAAGATTAAACTGATTGAATCTTTGCGCAGCATAAAACGTATGACCATTCGGTACATTTGTCTGAAAACCAAGACTATTACTTTTGGGCTCTATAGCCCTAAAGTTGATTTGACAACTAATAGTCATTATTTTCCCACTTAAAGATATTTTCAAGCCCCACCTTTTTAGGGAAGTTCTAAATTAATATTATCTTTCAAATGCAGTTGGAATTTAACTTTTTCATTTTTTTTGGCCTGCAAATGGGACATACACTGTAGTACCTTTTATAATCTCAATGTTTTGTGAGACATGTCATAAACACTGATGATGAAATGATGATGGGGATAATACAAAGTACACACTCTTGTCCGCAGCTACAGAGTAATTCACTCAAAACATTGTACCGTATATTTTTTCATGTGTGAAAGGGGCGTACGTGTCAAATGTAAGTGTGAACAATGTGTTGAGACTGCTCTATCAATTAGGCACAGACACCGCAGCAATATTGAGGGTGAAAAATCAATGGCCCATAGTACAAGTATCATTAACAACCCATGATTCATAACAAAGCAATCCCTTTCAGACAACCAAAAAGTATTGTGTGGCTAAAAGAAAGCCAAATACGTTTACCGTGCATGTACATGTACATGTACATGTACATGTAGCTACATGTACACTGTACATACATGTACACCCGATCTGTACATTGTATATTTACAGTATTTTGTCTTGTATGAGCAACTTCGTTTTAAAATGAAACGTTGGGAATGTACATGTATCTTATAGCAAAATGCATGTTTGTGAATTGTTCTGAACAAAAACTTGATAGAGCATCAGGGTTCTGCTTCCATCTGAACGTTGTATCATTTAAAATCTGCAGAACGGGGAGGGGCTTATCATAAACATGAGCATGCAATGATGATGTGCCAGCTGTCATCAACTAATATTTTCATAACCATATGTAGTTTCTTGATTAAACATTCTTATCCAAACGCTGTTTACATTGTACATGAATGTCCTTTTTTCTGCAAGATGTCTCTCAGTACACAAACTTTCTTTAATCGCGTTTTGTATGTACATGTACGTTTTCATTTGTATATGTACGCTTTCATTAGTCTGAACAAGCAGTATACCTGTACATGTACATGTACATGTAGGTCCCGCTGTGTTATAAAGCTATTGGTAACATGATAGTCAGGCAATCTCCAGCTTTTTATAGATCACACCTTGGTGAAAGCGCAAAACAATCAATACTTTGTCAGGGACACTGCTTTTTGACAGCGCTTTCAGGGTGTAAATGTAAAGTGTACATGTTGTCACATACATTTGTAAAGCTGACTAGAATGGATACAGATACCTACATGTGATGGTGGTGGTTGTTATTTTACCTGACTGCTAAGAAAGCATAAATGCTTGTAAGTAAGCAACCAGACGGCCGACGGCTTTAGGTCCTCTCCGAGGGACCTGGTAACGAGGATTAATGCCTTACCAAAGGGCACTAGCTGTAGCGCATCGACCTGGTTGCGAACCCGGGTCACCGGATTACGAGACCACTGCTCTACCAACTGAGCTATCGCACCTCTTCTTTCTGTCTTCCTCCTCCCTCTCCTTCTCCTCACCTTCTTGTACTGTCAATTTAAAGCCCCTCTAATTCTAAAGTGTTGTGAGCACCAAATTGTATCATAATGTGAAAGAGGATGACATTTAAGACACACTTCTGCAAAGATTTCCCAAATAAAACTGTGTTCGAAGACAAATATTGATAAAAGACTACAAATTTGGGGTTTTCTGTTGCATGCAGAAAAAATGTGCCTTTTAATTTTAAAAAGACTAAAAATGACAGATTAGGAATTGAAGGATACCATGTCTGGCTAGTCATCAATCATTAATCTTTTTTTTTTAAATATTTTCTACATAAAAGCACCTGAATAGGTTCAACATGCCATTTGAAGTGTAAAGCCCATTGCCAAACATTAGCTTGTGGACACAGAAGGCCCGTCTTCACTATCTCGAGATTGCCAAATATCCAGCTATTTGAACTATCCCGATCGCAAACTATCCAGCTAATGCCAAATATCCAGCTATTTGAACTATCCCGATCGCAAACTATCCAGCTAATTGCGTCTTCATTAGAACGAAGTAGCAAATTAGCTGGATAGTTGGTCGGGATAATATCCCAAGATATCTTGGGATAGTTTGCAAAATATCCTACTATTTGGCAAAATATCCAGCTATTTGTCCCGTGCGTCTTCACTAGACCGAAGATTCGCAATACACGCTAACGCTGAGCAAAATATCTCGAGCTAATTTCTCAAGGTCGAGTTTCAAGTTTCGAGGTCGAATCTCGAGATAGTGAAGACGCGATTTGTTACTTCGGGATTATTTCTCAAATAGCGGGCTATTTGGCAATCTCGAGATATTTGGCAATCTCGAGATGATGAAGACGCACCTAGAGACTGCTTGGTTTGAGAGCAAACAGATTAACAAAATACCTCACTTTTAATAACACTTGCAGCCTTTCCCTGAGAGAGAAAACTTGTATAAAACAAAACAAAATTGAAGAGTTGATGACTGCATTATAAATACAGATATTATTTTGATCTTCTTTGCTCTAATATTTATATTTTCTTGTAAAACTCGTTATATTATAATTGCCAAATATTTTGTCTGCTTTGAGAAAGAAATGTGTGATGTACAATGTACATGTAGAACCTGTCTCGGAAAGCCACCTGTCTACAGTGGCCACTTTTTCTGTTTTCCTTGAGTGGCCTTTATAGACAGGTTTGACTGACTTGACTGTATAAACAATGTACATGTATGTTGACCACAGAAGGAGACTTGTTTGAAGGAGAAGTGATTGGTTTTCAGTGGTTGGAAACAGAAAACCTTCAATCCCTGATATTTTGTTCTTGTTCAACTTCAAACTACTGGTAATGCATGCCCCCCCCCCCCCCCAATTTCCTTTTGTTAATACAAATATGTATATCATTACATCTAATAAAACATTAAGTTTAAGTGTTGATTTCTATGAATGCTGTATCATAGTTCTTCATGAACCATTGTCAGTTTTGTCACAAAATATGCTTTAAACATTTAAACAAAAAGAAGGTGTTATCACATACTGGTACATTGTACTAAAAGAAAATGTGAGTGGGGGAGGGAATTGGCCCAATTTTTTTTTTTTTTATTTGATGTAAAAATGTAAACTGAAGGTCTACATGTACATGTAAATGGCAGGTACAAAAAGTAAATGGTATAATATGATAATACATGTACATATATCCATCAAAGGTAATCGCCTCCCCATTCTTAGGATTTCAATCCAATTCTACAATTCAGTTGAATCCAATTCATTCCATGATGAAATAAAAAGATAAACCCTGGGGGCTTATTTCAAATCATCCACAAAATGCAATTATTCTATGATACAAATGACATTTGCTCAGCCTTCCAATGACTGAGCAATTGCCCAGCAGCGTAGTATTAAAGATATTGAGCTTTTCCCCATCTCATTTTCAAATGGCTGGGATATTTGAACCAAAACAAATTTGCGTCCAACAGTCATATGAGCCCTGTACATATTTGCATTACCTGGTTAGTCTCGACACCAGGACAAAAGTGTTTCTGTTATTCAGTAAGAAGAGCTGTTTAAAATGAATGTGTACTGAAGACAACATTTATTTGCTCAAAATAGGCTCAATTGTGTAAGATTTGAACAATGAATGATACTACTACTACTTCTAGCCTGGGGCAAGTTTATATCAAATACCAGTAAATCCACCGGGCAAGCTACATGTAAGTATTGACACTTTTAAATGTACATGTACATGTACAGTGTAGGCCTTCTAGACAGAAAAGATCTGGCATCTACTGTACATGTAGCAAAATTTATATTTTCATTCTATCCGCACATGAGAGACCTGTCAAATTTTGCTTTATCTTTTAATGTAATTTTCTAATTCAATGTGAATAAATGTTTAATGTGGGGAGTTAACAGGTGTACATGTAGTATGTACCGTATGAAAGTTGAAAGTATGCATAGTGGTACGCAAATGTGATCAGTCTATTACCTACATGTAGACTATTTTGCAAATTGAGTCCAAGTTTTGAGAATGTTTGGTTAATTACAACCCAGTGCAAACACAACCCCATGCTCTTTGCTGGTTTCTGGAAAACAATGAGGGATTGTTGAATAACATGCAGTATGGGATGTCAAGTTTGTATGAGTGATGTATGAATAATGAATCTAATATTAGGAAAGAGAGCACACACCCTCTGCAAACTCTCTCTCTGTCTCTCTCTCTCTCTATCTCTCTCTGTTTCTCTCTGTCTCTTTCTCTCTATCTCTCTCTCAATAAAAAGTACAACAAACATGTACATTAAATGTATAGGCAGGTCTACATTTGCATTTCGAATTGAAGAGCTGACTTTCAATCATCAATGAAACTGCACGTAACTCTCAACGCATTACAACAATCACTTTACAAATTGGCTTCACATGCAGATGCAATTTTGCTAAAACGTTTGAGAGTTTACAAATACTAGCAATCTCCCCCATTCAACGCAACCTGTTTGGGGGGCAGGACTCCCAAATGCAAAATGCATGTGGCGGCCATATTGTAAACGCATTTCACGCACAGTGCCATTCAATAAATTGTGAACAAGTGAATATCAGCATGGGCACAATGAAGAGATGGATGGAGGGTGAACTGAGAATGAAGTTCACTGCTGAGTGATGTATGACTAGTCTAGATTCCAGACCTATCTATTTATGTATTATTGAATTCACTGCTGAGTGATAGATGACTAGTCTGAATTCTAGACCTAAATGTATTATTGAATTATTTATGAATTGGGAATGAAGTTTACTGCTGGTTGATGAATGACTAGTCTGAATTCCAGACCTATCTATTTTTATGTATTATTGAATTATTTATCAATTGGTAATGAAGTTCAGTGCTGAGTGATCTACATGTATGACTAGTCTGAATTCCAGACCTACATGTATATATTTGTATGTATTATTGAATCATTCATGAATTCGGAATGAAGTTCACAGCTGAGTGAGGGATGACTAGTCTGAATTCCAGAGCTATCTATTTATGTCTGAATAAATAATTGGTAGCAAGACTTACAATTGAAGGCTACTACAAGGTAGCTGTTGTTGGTTTGCAGCAAAAATTATACTTGGGAGCAGAGAGCGACTTGGCTCTCACTGGTTAGCCTTGAAGACTGTTGTCTTGACAGAAACTGCGAAAATACATGCATATAAACCAAAACCATAACATCATGCATACAAAAAATATATATGATACATATATTTTAATAGGAAATCTCGACATGTAAACAGATATGAAACCAAAATAATAACATCATGATGATCATTTCAGAGTGAAAAATGCAAAGAAGGAGAGAGAGAGATAGAGAGAGAGAGAGAGAGAGAGAGAGAGAGGGTGATAGATCTATGTGTACATGTATAGGGGCAGGTCCAAGCTATTTGCTTTGTGACGTACGGGACATTCAGAGACTTTAAACAAGAAATAACAATGGATGACATTATTTATATGACTATCTTTTGGTATGAGTCTGTGGCTATTATGGGCTAGTTCATTTGTGAAAAGTTTTAGTTCTGACCAATTCATAAATTAATTTTTAATGTAATTAATGTGCTGCGTGACGTACGGGACCAGAGAATTTCTGACTTTTTCAAAAATAAGTTCATCATAAAAGTTCTCTGAATTTATTAAGTTATGAGATTTAAGGTAATGATATCTTAATTCATTATGGAATCAAGCATAAATCACAACTATTGCCATATTTTTCTGACCTTTCGTTATTATGTAATATATCAAAACATAAATGTGTGCATGTGACGTACGGGACACGTGACGTACGGGACAACTTTTCCCTATGGGAAAATGCATTGAAATGGAGAATTTTCGTCAAAATTTGTTAAATGTGAACAATTTTAACTTAAATCAGTGACAATTAGAGTGTTTTAGAACCCAATTAGTTCCTCTGACCATCACTTAATATCATCTGTGTTAATTTATGACGTAAATCAATACAAATATTACTTTAACAAAGAAAACAAATTGAATTAATATTCATACACACTATATTACCATTTTTATTCCATTTACCCATCTATCATGTGTAGTCATGCTTCTTTTCTCATTTCTTTTATCCATTCCATTCAACATTGCAAAATGTTTTTAAACAATAATGAAAGATGAACTTGAACTTGAAATTTTTTATTTAAACTTGTTTGAAACACAGGGGCACACTCGGCACATCATATTTCATCAAAGAACATTTCTTATGTTGTAAGTGTTTGTGAAGAAAGATACATTAAAAATATGAAGTCTTTTCTTCATAGCTTGTTTGAATTATTTGATAGAATTTTGAAGGAATTCAAAGATAATGCTGGACATATTGTCTTTTTTATATCCTTTTATCACAGATTAGAACATGTATATGTTGCTGTCATATATTCAAGAATTTTGATGTACATTAATGTAGTCTACATGTTTGTGAAAGATGGATACAAAAATATAAATCTTGAATGTATTTCGTATTGATTAAAACATCTTATTAACACCACCAGATATAAGAAATTAAAACCCTAAAGGTTTGTGTGACCTTTTCCACACTTCAAAAGATTAATTTAAAGCAAACTCAACAAAAATGCATGGGTGTAAAAGTGATAAAAATCTTAAGTGGGTGAGAGTGTGAAATACTCAAAAAGGCTATCCTTCCTTAAAAGTTATGACTTAGTTTTTAGGAGATCAGAATTCCTGAGCTGGCTCCATAAAATGTACAGTGCATGCTGTAATCCTTTACCATCATATATGACATTTAAATAGAATATAAAAAAACCTCACATAGAGAGCTTGATAGCATACATGTGCTATTCTTACCTGCAGCATCTATGAGTTGTAAAAGCCAGCTTCTGGTGCATCCACTACCATATAATTTCATTAGACTCATTCCAGGAACTAGTACACTATTTTGATTTACATATTTAGCATTCTGCCAATGTTGGAGACATCAACTGGCAAAATACCAAAGTTGATAATACCAGGGGTCTGGCTTGAAGACTAATTACATTAACAACAATTACATAAAACAACAACAAAAGTACAAACAAGTAAATTCCTAGAAGGGACCCAGTTGGAATGTTCATATATCCCTGTATACAACAAGTTTCCTAACACAGTATATATTTTCCTTTTGGTCATTTCCTTTTTCACATCTCGCATTGGTTTTACATGGGGTTGTCCCGTACGTCACACACTTGTCCCGTACGTCACATTTCTTAATTTGATAATGTAATCAACACAGAATTTTTGAAATTTTTGTTAAACCTATTTTTTGTTAGGTATTCATCTAAATTAGAACTTCCTAGAATATCTTTAAAAAAAAAAATTATTTTCATAATTAAAATTAAACAAATTATGATCAAATTGTGACGTACGGGACATCACACTTTGGAACCTACCTCATTTGCATAATTAATTAATTTTGAAAGTTTTTATATTTTTTTCCTATTTTCTAGCATGATGGTCTTTATGTCCTGAGATGTTTAATTTTAAATAAATAATTCAAATGAGATACAAAAATAAAAATGTAATGTCCCGTACGTCACGCTAATTAATACAAATCAAAGTTCGTGACCTTGGCACTCTTCGTATTTTGATAATTTTTTAAATTTTTTATCAGATTCATAAAATTCATAGTTTCAGCTTTAAAATAAGGTATAGTGTGTTCAATATATATAAAGATGAAATTTGACCCCCAGAGGGGACAATAGCTTGGACCTGCCCATAGGGAGAGGGGAAAGATATAAGGGGGAGAGAGGAAAAGAGAGGAAGAGAGAGAGAGAGATATTGAGATAGCATGTGAAAGAAAAATATTGCATAGAGAGTATTTTGAAGGAAATAAAGAAGTGAAATCTTTTCCATTTCTATGACGATACTTGAAACTCTTTGTTCGGATGTACCGTACATATGTACAAGAACTGTACTGTTGATTTAATTCATATTCCCAGTGTGCATGTACAGGTGTACAACAAAAATCAGATGAGCTATTAATGTATAAAACCTGCAAACAAAATCATTTAAAAATATCAAAGCAGATGGTCTAATAGGGGGATAATTAGAGTTGGGCTAGGCACCCTGCTGTACACCAAAACAAAGAAACTAATGAGTTTCATGGTGAATGAAACCTGATGATTGAAAATATATAGTGCCCTGTGAAACAGGATTTTTTTTTGTAACATAATCTATTTTAAATGTACAAATCATTGTTAAAGTGCCTTGTTACAAATTATTTCAATCAACTCTTACAAATGATTGTATTTCAATAGCCAGAATACATACATGTGGATTGCATGTACACTCTGTGTTGTTACTGTAGGTAGGAAAAGCCATGTTTGTCTACCTACAGCATGTGTACAGGTACAGTACATGTAGCAGAACATGGGATTTGCATTCTTACTACTGGGTATTAAAATGCAATTATTTGTAACAGGCGAATGATATAATTTGTAACATGGTACTTTCAACAAAGATTTATGCATTATTAAAATTTGATTACATTACGAAAACGGTCTTTTGCTGCAGCTCAACTCACACTTACAATGAAGTTCAGTGATCACGATCGTTATGAAATTGGGAATCATGCATATTTCATTCAGAAGGTGTGATTCAATGAATATTTAGATTGCTCAGTTTTGTTGTCAACGGTCAGTGATGAATGACCTGCTCTACATTCCGAAATGGACGAAAGCAATCATCCATCGACAAGCCCTCCTTGTAATAGTCACAAGTTCACAACAATTGTAATCAAATTGCACTTGGCACTTTCAATGAACTTTCCATGCACAAAGAAACATGCCCAATAATCACATACAAAAATTGCAAGGCGTGATTATTTACAGGAAAAGAAATGCATGTTCGTATTCGTACTGTACCTGTACTAGGCGGGCTCACATGTACAGTACATGGGTCATTTCACGTTAAGTGTACACTTTTTTTCTCACTGGGGGTCAAAAATGAAAATTGTTGTTAGAGCAAAAGATGCACAGATTCTGAAAGTTTGGGGTATATGTCAGAAATGTGTAAAATTATAGAGCGTCAAGCCCATGTTTACATATAGAAATATTTGATTGAAATACAGTAACAAAAACAGGCGTTTGGAGAGGACATTTTGTTTAACAAAGAACACATCAGCTTTATTATACCTGTAAATGGTATACACATAGTTTTCTGTACTTTTATATGCCTTTTTATACTTATCAGATGTTGATGCACTTATTTCCTATTCACTTAAGCCATATTTTGCCATAAAATTAGTGTATTTTATAGGAAACTGAATTATGGGGAGGTTGAATTTATTTAATGACATGAGAATTTCTTGTCCTTCTTCTTATATAGACTTCAAATTTGGTATACAGTGTTGCATTTATGTCTAAATTATTTGATGCTGTGTAAAAAAAAACAAGTGAATGCAAGTTTTAATCAAATATGAGCTTCCAAACTTAATTCATTGACGTGTTTTGGAGAGGACATTTGTTTAACAACAAATCTTAGCAATATGAACTCTTACTATATTAGTTGATATGTAAATTGCTATGCATCATTCATTTCTAACATTTCTGTAAGAACATGCCAATAGATTATTGGAACATTATATGAGCCAAGTGACATATATTGGAGAGGATAAACTTCAAATTATTCACCATCATTACAACTCCAACTTTATCTCAGAATATATGGCGTGAAAGTTTTGTTATTCATACATTGTTTCATGTTATTTAAACAGTATTTTACAATAAAAACAATACTGATATTGTCTATTGATACACCAGTTTTTATATACAAGTCTTATTATTTATTTTTTCTATAATCCAAACTCTCAAAGAGTGACTCGTTGATATACATTGTATGTTATGGAGAGGACACTTTGTTTAACAGTGACATCTGAATGTTTAAATGCAATTTACTTTTTTTGTAATCAATACATTCACCAGTCTTTATTTTTGATTTTCATATACCAAGTTAGATAACGCAATATAAGGTAGGAAATGTCCCGATACCATGCATATTGTCAATTAAACTAGTATTTATAGTGAGTAATAAGCAAAAAAAAACATCTTACTTTAAATTCCTGCAAAAACAATATGAGAATATAGGTTTCCATAATTGTTGGTATAACTGATCAGAAAGTCCTACACTGTAACTGATAAA